GTTAACTTGCGGTTTACAAATCTCCGTGTTTAGTCTCAATTCCTTAGCTTTAATCATTTGCTTTCGTTTCTCTTTTTTAGCTCGTTATCACGGTTGGGAAAAAAATTTTAGTTTATAAGTTGTAAACTTTTCTTGGTAATTCCGCTGACCAGGGCATAATGCCTGGGAATCACAACACTAAAAAACATTGCGGGCGCAATATTTGGTAGTTATTGGGGGTCGGGGGTAGTTAGCCCGATCGCATAGCAAAACAAAATGGCGGGTTGCTTTCGATTTTCAGGACGGTATTTCTCTGACTTTTCTCGTCTTACACATTTAAAAGATAGACCTTTTAGGAGTTCCGATGCCAACAAACGCATAAATTCTGTAATTACTTCGTTCCTCGGTTTGAGAAATGCTTCTTTCACGAATTCACATCATGTTTCTTTATCGAAGTACATCGAAAAATTATTTGGAGATGAATCAACTGAAGGGGTTTATACAACTTCATCGAAGCACCGGGAACAGGACGGTTCCAGCAGGGAATATTTTAGGCAAACTACATTGCTCGACCGCCGAAAAGAGGAAGCGTTCAACTGATCTTTGGCGTTTGGAGCCGATTCTCAAGGCATTTCAAATGGATTTTCAAGGAAAACATCGAAGTACGGTAAATGTTATTTCTAAATGTTGGTTGATTTATAACAAAAATTATTGTTTAACTGATGTTTTGATTCCAATTCCAATATAAATTTAAACTTTTGTAATTTGGCATACGAAGATGTACAATTCGATTGATCGATCGATCGATAGCTTAAGCAGCTTTTAACCGAAAACAAATAAAATGTAAGGTATTTGAATAAGCTTAAATATTTTGGCTGTAAAACCTTTTTGCTTGTTATTGTGTAGACCTTAAGTCTATTCATAGTTTCCGTGTAGAAAAGCAGGCTTCATCTGAGGCTTGTGTTTATAATAATAGCACATATTATTTTAAATTTCTCTGATGGATTTTTCTACTATAGTTTTATAAAGTCCCTTTTGATCTAAATCAGTCTATAAACACAAAATATTCATTACCTCTGTTACACATACTTATGAACTGTAGGTAATATTTGTACTAAGAAGCCTACATGTACCTTCACATCTAAAGCCTGGATTTTACTTGGCACACAAGTACAAGTGTCCATATTACATGTAAACTGAGAAGCACAAGGATTGAAACATTTTGATTGTTCTACGTGCACTTGCATTTCAAATTGGATCAAACTCCCCCAGTCCTTGGGCAAATTATATCCCTATATTAAAGTTATACCTGGTTGTGTATTTATGAATCATTGATTGGCAAGGCAAGTCAAATTCCAGAGGGTGGGGACAGCAATGGAGGTCAAATGCCCCGTACATGCCCAGCCTCCCCCCTCCCCTTCATTGATAGGTTCGTACTAATTTAAATACCAGAGTCAAACCAGAAATTGAAAATAATAGTAATCAATAATTATATCAAAGTTATTGTGTTTTGGTATGCAATAGTGGAACCTATAGACGCATTTGAGCTTCAAAATAATTCCCTTTTGTCAGATTTGGGCTGTTGCCCTATATATATACAGTAGAATCCCCATTTCTCAAGCCTCCAATTCAAGGGTTTTCACTGGGAAGGAACAACAACTGCATTCAATGAATGTCATTAATATCAATTACATCCTGAGCAGGCTCTTAGGAGCCTTAGAATTCCTAAACAAACCGTCCGTGAAGTTTTATTCAAGAAAGAACTTAGTGATTATCAGTAGTCCAGAAACTAATTCTCGGTACGTATAAATCAGTTGTGCTGTACGTTGAAATAATGCAAGCTTACAGTTTGTCACGGTTTCGCATAAAATGAAAATTGTAAATTGCAACTGAATGGCAAAAATTAAATTAACGTGGGAAATGAAATTGTAGAAAACTGAGGAAACAGTTTTGTTCGAACAATGCTTTCATGTATACTCTGCTACGGAAGAGTGTGGAAGATTGTCCTAAAATGTACCGGTTGCGACTTTGAATGGTTTTTGTGCTTTATTTGAAATAGCTCCTCATTTCAGTTGCTTTTTGTGGTGAAATTCCGTTCGAGTCTCCATCGTCTGTTCTTCATATATAGCTACCTTTCTGTAATTACATATTTTGGTGTAAAAATTAATCGTGTGAGTTTCTTGTTATTTGGATTAAGTTTTACTTCTTCGGTAGTTTATTATAGTGACTTTGCGAACTAAACGAAGTAGGAAAAAAAATAAAACCGTTATTTGCTGGCCTTGGTCGGTCCGTATTGAGAAAAACTATTTCTCGGTCTAGAAGAAATTAACTTTCTGGTTAAGGAAGAAAAACTGAGTAAACTGAGTAATTGAAATTCAATGTAATAAGGCATTCATGTGAGTAAAATTTCGCGGCTCGGCCACACAGAGAAAATGAAATGCGATATTTTTTTCTCTGGAAAAAAGGAGCACGCAAAATTAATTTTTTATCTTCTTGTGGAGAATTGGAGTGCGTGCCGCCTGCATGTTTTCCCTTCTTCTAACTTTCTCGTTTGTGATCCGTATTATCCAGTACATCTTTAATATCCTTTTCAAGCTACTATGCATGAACGTATCCAACGCCTTCTCATCCGTTTAAGTCATCCTCCATTTTTCGCAAATAGATTTAACCAAGCTCATTTATTTGTTAGCATTTCAAAACACGGTGCAATAAGTTTTCAGTTTTTTTTTCTTCTCTTTTTTCTCTTTCATCATCGGTTATGGTTTTGCTTGGGTCCGTTTGGACATTATCGCACGAGCCATTTTACATGTGGTACACGTTGTATAATATAGATTTTGAAAATTTTTAGCATGTTGCTTTCACTAATTTTTTACACAAGTAACTGCTAGCTCTACTATGATCCTAATAATACCTAGCTCGATATATTATTTTCTATTTGGGTTAGTAAATTTTGTACTACTATGGAGCGCGCGAGGCTTTGACTTTCTAATCGTATGACATGGATTTGAACACTATACATAGAATAAGCTGGGTTATGTATATATATATCAGTGTGGTTATTAACTAATTCATTGTTAAATTGATATTCAAATAATTATTTTTATAAAATAATCAGTATAGAATAAAATTTGGAAAAGAAAATAAGCAGTAGATACCGAGTTAACCCAAAAAAGGAAATCGAACCTATCTATGTTAAAGTTATTTTCTACTAACCTTAGTTGGTCGACTCTTCTGATGTCTCCTGATCTGTGTTGCGCTCTGATATGAAAGATACGTGTTGCTTTCACAGAATATAGCCCGTTAATTTGAAATTCTTAGCTCATCGATCATTCAGTGTTGGCAAGTAGGTCACTTCGTTGAAGGACCGGATAGGCTCTTTGAAACAAGGTGCTCTTGAGATTTAACTATTCAATAGAGGGAAACTGAAGAGATTTTTACTGGTACTCTTTTCCCATCATATTATTTCATACTTTAAAGCACTTTTCAGTCCAAAAAAACATATTTTAAATTGTTATTGGACAAAACCCCTTACTTGATAACTGGTGAAATTGAATAAATACATGTTAAGTGGAATGGGTGACTTGGATAAATGAAGAAATGCTCTTAGTCGAAATACTAAGAAAAAATATTTCTGAGCTCTCCAACGGGAATCGAACCCATGACCTTCCAGGTGCCGGTAGAACGCTCTAACCACTGAGCTATGGAGGACTCATGGTGAGCAAGACCAGACAACTAGGTTCATATGTGATAACATATGGCCTTGCTCACCATGAGTCCGCCACAGCTCAGTGGTTAGAGCGTCCAACCGGCACCTGGAAGGTCATGGGTTCGATTCCCGTTGGGGAGCTCAGAATTTTTTTCTGAGTATTTCGACTTGAACAAATACAGTCCAACCGGAATTTATTTTCCGCGCAACTCACAATGTTGTAGCGCAATGTTGGAATATTTATTGACATTTTGCTCAGAGCAACTTGCAATTAAATTCACTGAATTCGACTGAATTTGCTCGAGCAAATCAGTGTACATGTACGTGTTCGGCAATTATGTTGTCCTTAAATAATAATTGACTTCCAAGGAAATCACAACACTAAACAACATTGCGGGTACAATATTTGGTAGTTATTGGGGGTCGGGGGGTCTGGGGTAGTTACCCCGATCGTATAGCAAAACAAAATGGCGGGTTGCTTTCGATTTTCAGGACGGTATTTCTCTGACTTTTCTCGTCTAACATATTTAAAAGATAGACCTTTTAAGAGTTCCAATGCCAACAAACGCATAAATTCTACAATTCCTTCGTTCCTCGGTTTGAGAAATGCTTCTTTAACGAATTTACATCATGTTTCTTTATCGAAGTACATCGAGAAATTATTTGGAGATGAATCAAAGAGTTTATACAACTTCATTGAAGCACCGGGAACAGGACGGTTCCAGCAGGGAATATTTTAGGCAAACTACATTGCTCGACCGCCGAAAAGAGGAAGCGTTCAACTGATCTTTGGCGTTTGGAGACGATTCTCAAGGCATTTCAAATGGATTTTCAAGGAAAACATCGAAGTACGGTAAATGTTATTTCTAAATGTTGTTTGATTTATAACAAAAATTATTGTTTAACTGATCTTTTGATTGCAATTACAATATAAATTTAAACTTTTGTAATTTGGCACACGAAGGTGTACAATTCGATCGATCGATAGCTTAAACAGCTTTGAACCGAAAACAAATAAAATGTAAGGTATTTGAATAAGCTTAAATATTTTGGCTGTAAAACCTTTTTGCTTGTTATTGTGTAGACCTTAAGTTTATTCATATTTTCCGTGTAGAAAAGCAGGCTTCATCTGAGGCTTGTGTTTATAATAATTATTATTTCACACGTTTTCAGTCCACAAAACATGTTTTTAATTGTTATCGGACAAAACCCCTTACTTGATAACTGGTGAAATTGAATAAATACATGTTAAGTGGAATGGGTGACTTGGATAAATGAAGAAATGCTCTCAAGTCGAAATATACTCAGATAAATATTCTGAGCTCTCCAACGGAAATCGAATCCATGACCTACCAGGTGCCGGTTGGACGATCTAACCATTGAGCTATGGAGGACTCATGGCGAGCAAGGCCAGACAACTTGGTTCATATGGCCTTGCTCACCATGAGTCCGCCATAGCTCAGTGGTTAGATCGTCCAACCGGCAACTGGAAGGTCATGGGTTCGATTCCCGTTGGGGAGCTCAGAATTTTTTTCTGAATATTTCGACTTGAATAAATACAGTCCAACCGGAATTTCTTTTCCGCGCAACTCACAATGTTGTAGCGCAATGCTGGAATATTGATTGACAGTTTGCTCAGAGCAACTTGCAATTAAATTCACTGAATTTGCTCGAACAAATCAGTGTACATGTAAGTGTTCGGCAATTCTGTTGTCCTTAAATTATAAGCGACTTCCACTGAAATTGTAACTCCTATTTTACTGATATGACATCAAATAATGTTACCTTTTTATACATTTTATAATAAATACCAAAATACTTAAAGGTCGAAATATACATACCTCTTTATTCGATTTCGAGCCAAATTAGTATGAGTTATTTTAATATATTTGCCGACAAATAAAAATCGAAAATTCATATCGATTTTTAAAGAAATGAGAATCGAAAATTGGCATAAATTTGTAACATTATTATCAATTGCGGTTTCACCAGTTGGTAACACAGGCCGAGAAGAAAGAATAGGTTATGTAGAATAAGTTCGGATTACGGTTCCGATGAATGTAGTTTTTCGTAAAGAAGCAGAAAACGCTGGGAAATGAGGATTCCTAGTAAATCTAAGGTTGAGCAGAAAATCTCGCCGCAAGAAGAAGCACCGCAGTCTTCGCTTGATGAAAATTCTGTGACAGCTGGACAGCCAATTGACCGGTGTTGATGAAGTGCAACTGGGAAGTTTTGTGAGTTCTCTAGTCTGAAACGGCTTGTCGTCATATAGTTAATGTTCTCATCTATCCATGAACACATTATACTATACAAAAATCAGGAGACATTAGAGGCGTGCCGCCTTAAGATGCAGTAAAAGGTTTGTCTCTACTATTATTCCACATTGATTGTTTTATCTCTGTGCGGTGATCGTCAGGTACTACACACAAAACCCTACTGACCATGCCATACCATATTGATAGTAATTGAGAATTTTGTGTTAAACCTCGCGATTTTAGAAAAGTAAAAGTTTGCTCACCTTTTTGGTAGTAATAAAGTTATGTGTGAGAATGTTCTTGTCGAGTAAATAGAAATCACATACTAATTAAAGAGTTGTAACGTTTCAAAGATAAGCAAACTCTTTCACAGCCAAAATATGATTTTCTTTATAAACCTTGTACCACATGCTACATGTAAATGGCTCGCGAGAAAATAAAGTAAGATAAACTGGCAGTTCACTCAGTTGGAGCACTTGTCCAAATTATTTTTAAAAATGCCCGGAAATGTCACTTGATTTGATATTTTTCACGAACTACCTAACTAAAACAAAACTGGCTTTGATTGTCCGAAAAACTACTGAGACGCTGTAAAACGTAAATAACAAATCCGAGTCAAAGGCTTACATGAACAGCATCATATATTTTATTTATATATTTAGGCGACTTTGCTGGTGTTCTGAAATCAAATGAAACTCCGCGATAACGGCACGAAACGATACAAATACCAAATAAATTCTAGGGAGAAGGACCGACAAGAATTTGTAAACAACGTTACCTGTACTGTGAAGCCCCATCTCAAAACTGATCCCAAACACCCCTTCAATATGACTACTAGTAATGTACATGGAAAGAAATGATGTTTAACTTGAGTTTATGTTCACCTGGGCAAGATCGCAATTGGAAGATATTATTCAGTCAGTGATAGAAGCTACTCGGGAAAAAAATCTATATATTATCTAAAGTCGACGCTTTCGATCGTAATCGACTACCTCGGGAATTCGAAAAAATGGCCGCAGCTAGAACTAGTTGAACTTGATAACTGGTGGAATCAAATATTAAATACAGGCCAATCGTTATTTCTTTTTCGTGCAACTCACAATGCTGTGGGGCAATGTTAGAATATTGATTGAGAGTTTGCCCAGAGCAATTTGCAAATTCACTGAATTCGAATTTAACAAATCAGTATAATTGTTCAGCAATTCTGTTGTCCTTAAATTATAAGCGACTTCCAAATTGTAACTTTTATTTTACTGAGATGACATCAAATAATGTTACCTTTTATACATTTTATAATAAATACCAAATACTTAAAGGTCGAAATATACATACCTCTTTATTCGATTTCGAGCCAAATTAGTATGAGTTATTTTAATATATTTGCCGACAAATGAAAATCGAAAATTCGTACTATCACTTTTTAAATAAATGAGAATCGAAAATTGGTAATACATTTTTAACATTAACAATTGCGGTTTCACCAGTTGGCAACACACGCCGACGAAGAAAGAGTAGGTTATATAGAATAAGTTCGGATTACGGTTCCGGTGAATGTAGTTTTTCAGAAAGAAGCAGAAAACGCTGGGAAATGAGGATTCCTAGTAAATCTAAGTCAGTGCGAAGAAAAGGTTGACCAGAAAATCTCGCCGCAAGAAGAAGCACCGCAGTCTTCGCTTGATGAAAGTTTGTGACAGCTGGACAGCCAATTGACCGGTGTTGATGAAGTGCAACTGGGAAGTTTTGCGAGTTCTCTAGTCTGAAACGGCTTGTCGTCATATAGTTAATGTTCTCATCTATCCATGAACACATTATACTATACAAAAATCAGGAGACATTATAGGTGTGCCGCCTTAAGATGCAGTAGAAGGTTTGTCTCTACTATTATTCCACATTGATTGTTTTATCTCTGTGTGATCGTCAGGTACTACACACAAAACCCTACTGACCATGCCATACCATATTGATAGCAATTGAGAATTCAGTTGTGTTAAAACTTTCCATTAAAACCTCGCGCTTTTTGATAAGTAAAAGTTTCCTCATGCACCTTTGGTAGTGATAAAGTTATGTGTGAGAATTTTCTAGTCGAGTAAATTGAAATCACATACTAATTAAAGAGTTGTAAACTTTCAAAGGTTTCAAAGCCAGAATATGATTTCCTTTATAAACAATGTACCACATGCTACTTGTAAATGTAAGATAAACTGGCAGTTCAGTTGGAGCACTTGACCAAATTCTTTTTAAAATGCCCGGAAAATGTCACTTAATTGGATTTGATATTTTTCACGGGGTACCTAACTAAAACAAAATTGGCTTTGATTGTCCGAAAAATTACGGAAGCGCTGAAAAACGTAAATAAAAAAATCTGAGTCAAAGGTTTACAGGAACATCATCATATATTTTATTTATATATTTTGGCGACTTTGCTTATCTTCTGAAATAGAATAAAATCCCACATTAATTAACAGCACAAAACGATAGACACACCAAATAAATTCTAGGAAACTGCAGAGCATAGGAGTGTGGATAACATTGATACGGATTGAGAAAAGCACAACTTGATTTGTATCGTGTCAATTGAAATCAACTGTGTCTTAAAACGTGGTCTGCAATGTTAAGAAATCCCCTTTTTTTTGTAGCGAAGATTTAATTGCTGAATATAGTGAGCGCGTAATAGACCTTTCTCCAAAATGGCCGCCGAAAATTCAAAATGATTAAAATTAAACTGAGTGGAAAATCAATACCAGCACCTGAAAGACCACCTCTGGTTTGGTAATCGTACGAAGTTTCGTTAGGTTAGGTTCTACCTGAGTCGAGAAAACGGAAGTTGAAAACTGGAAAATTTAGAGACATTTGTATGACATTTGATATTTGTGGAAATTCTTGTTTCTTTCCTGTACAAAACTAGTTTCATATAATGTAGAACGATGATGAAAATCGATATTCTCAACGCCATAGGATTAAAAATCCATCTTTTTACCTTTATTCAGTAAATATTTCTCGACCGTTGACTCGAAGAATCGCACCGCGGTCCTTGAAATACATTGCCAACAGCTTTAGGCAAATGGAAAGCAGGGAAAGAAAAGACTTCCCGGGAACTCAGGACGAAGTAGCCCATGAATAGGCTCCGCGGTGGGGATGAGGTAAAAAGAAAATGGCGTACGAGCCGGGTGAAGCCTGGGGAGAGAGGGAGGGACGGCGGAGCCTATAGACATTCCTTTGAAGCCGCCATTCCGTGCACCAGATTCTGGTGCAAGCTCCAATTGGTCAGATCACTGATTGTTGACAAGTTTGATTGATATCCCGATTTCGCCGACGCGACCTCACGCGGTGGGTCATGAAATCGTATTTGCAACGAAACGGCAAACTACTCGGGTGGATCGCATCTCAAAATCGGAACGCACGTTGATTTCTATCATGAAGGAAATGGAAGAGATTGACATTGACAGTACTAAAAGCATTTGATATCGTTTTAGGTGAAGAAGAATCAGAGAAAGGGGTGTAACAAAGGTGTGAGTTAAGTATCGTGAGTTATCACAGTGAGTTAATTACATGTGAGTTACCAAATCTTGAAATTTCAATATTTGGCATGCAGAATATTGAAATTTCAATATTTGGCATGCAGAATATTGAAATTTCAATATTTGGCATGCAGAATATTGAAATTTCAAGATTTGGCATGCAGAATATTGAAATTTCAATATTTGGCATGCAGAATATTGAAATTTCAAGATTTGGCATGCAGAATATTGAAATTTCAATATTTGGCATGCAGAATATTGAAATTTCAATATTTGGCATGCAGAATATTGAAATTTCAATATTTGGCATGCAGAATATTGAAATTTCAAGATTTGGCATGCAGAATATTGAAATTTCAATATTTGGCATGCAGAATATTGAAATTTCAAGATTTGGCATGCAGAATATTGAAATTTCAATATTTGGCATGCAGAATATTGAAATTTCAAGATTTGGCATGCAGAATATTGAAATTTCAATATTTGGCATGCAGAATATGGAAATTTCAAGATTTGGCATGCAGAATATTGAAATTTCAATATTTGGCATGCAGAATATTGAAATTTCAAGATTTGGCATGCAGAATATTGAAATTTCAATATTTGGCATGCAGAATATTG